GTGAGGCAACATGAAATTTAAAAGCCAGTGGCCCTTAGTACAGTCACAAAGTCATGCAACTGTCACCACAATCTAGTTCCATAACATTTTCACGCCACTCCACATGGAATCCCTGCACCCAGTAAGCATCGCGGCTCACTCTTCCCTACTCCAGCCCCGGGGACCAATCATCCGATTTCCGCTTCTGTGAATTTTCTCTATGGATCTAATCTGGATATTTCATAAAAATGGATCATATACATGTGGCCTTTAGAGCCCAGCTTCTTTCATTTAGCATGGTTTTAAGTCGAATCATTGTTGTAGCATAGATCAGTATTTCATTTATTTTTAGCACTGAACAATATAATCCATTATATGGATATACCATTTTTGATATTGGGTTGTTCCTATACTTTGGCTATTGTCAATAGTGCTGCTGTAAATATTCTTGTACAAGATTTGTTCAAACACCTGTTTTTAATTCTTTTAGGTATATATACCAAAAGTGGAATTTTGGGGACATTTGATAATTCTACACATAACTTTTTGGGGAAGTGTTTTCCACAGTGGCTACATCAATTTACATTTCCACCACCTACATATAAGAGCTCTCATTTCTCCACATCCTCTCTAATACTTGTTATTTTCCATTATTTTCGATTAGAGCCATCCTAGTGGATGCCAAGTGGTATCTCATTGGGTTTTTGATTTACATTTCTTTAATAACTAATGATAGTAAGTATTTTTTTCATGGATACCTTGGCCTTTTGTACATCTTTTTAAAATTAAATTTATTGGATGACATTGGGTAATAAGATTATATAAGCCTTAAATGTACAGACTTTCACCATTGAGTATAATATAAATTATATTTTCCCCATAAATGTCTTTACCACGTTGAGGAAGAGAATACAATTTTCTTAAATTCCTAGTTTGTTGAGTGTTTTTATCATGAAAAGGTGCTAGATTTTGTCAAATGTTCTTTTTGGACCAACTTCCTTCATTTAACTAATGTGTAATGCATTGTTCGATTCTCTTATGTTGAAACAACTTTGTTTTCCCAGGATTAATAACACTTAGTCATGGCGTATAATTCTTTTTAATATGCTGTTGATTTGCTAGTATTTTGCTGAGAATTTTTAATCTATATTCATAGGGACATTTCTCTGTAGTTTTATTATTAAAAATATGTACATTCTACAACATAACAAAACCCTACTGTGTGTGTGCGTGTTCACGTATGCATGTGAAATGACTTTTCAAATTCACCAGATGCTTTCTAGTAGAATGAGCCACATTCTGTACTTTAGTATTATTTCCTCACAGTGAGCCAGAGGGTACAGATTAGGAACTTCTCAGGTCTTTACTGGGCATGTGCATAGTCACATACATGTGTGTGGCTTTCTAGCTTAGGAATATTCAGAGCTTTGAAAAACTCTGTATGGTCAATTCATTTCCCAAGTTTTCCTTTTAAGTTTTTTGGTCAGTCTTTTGTTATCCCCAACTTTTTTCCTGCTTTAGGAAGATGCAATGTTTTAATTTCTACTCATTGTTTTGACTATAGCTCAGGGAAAAGGCTGTTCGCAGTGAAGGAGTTTTGAGTCATGTCAAATAAAGGTTTACCTGTGAGAAGGAATTTCCCTGGAGCTTCCACGTAGGTCACATAATGACAGTTCTCTGGGAACGTATCTTTAAGATACTGTTATTGCCTATCCCAAGGGAAGTGGGTTGTAAGAAAAATATAAATACCTTCTATTCAGGGTAATAAGAGGCATGCCCCCCAAGAAGATGCCAAGGGAGTTTCTTAGAGATTTAGAGACCAAGGTAAGTCATCCTGGTTAGGCTGTGAAAAACAGCAAAAGAGAGGGGAAATTGCTTTTTCCAAGATAGTATGGAGAGATGGAAGAAAAGTGAAAGCAAGGAAGACAAGATGAAGAAAGAATGTACACTCATATTCATAACCTCCTGAAGCTACACTTTTACCTACATGTGCTTATACCTATGACCATGCAAAAAATCTCACCTGCAAAACTAAAGGATAAAAGCTGATGTGGAAGGAGATGCACCAATGTATTCTGTATCAATTTAGTTATTGTTTCTGACCCTGTAGATAGGCTCACAAATGTGAGTAAGAAGAGGAAAAGGACTAGCTCTCTCTATTAGATAGGACTGTGTCAGGTATAGAAAAAGTGATCAATAAATGCTTTTAAATTAATGAATTCATGAATAAATAAATCATAAAGCATGGCCCTGAAGGATATACATTTGTGAAAATAAAACCTAGGCATAGGGCGATAAATCATCTGAGAAAGTGTGGGGAGAAAAACCACAAGACTTCAAGATTAAGCAAAAATGAGAAAGAAAGTGTACATTATATCACTTGCAATACAATTTTTAAATTTCATCTTTGGAATTTTATCTCCCTTACTACTCATGATCTTCTTGGGGGATGTGACCAGTTTTATTAAAAATTATATTCAAATTGACAAATGAATGCTGGTACATAGAGGAATTACATCTCCACTTACCTTGTACATATTCTCCACTAATGAAAGACAGAAAACCATCTTTGATAGTTTCACATTACAAAGTTGAGACCTTCAGCTGTCTCCTCTCCAACCTTAGCAGTCCAAGTTTACACATACACTCAGAGACATATACTACACACACACACACAGACACACACATGCACACACACATGCGCACACACACACAGTTCCTCAGAGAATTTCTCAAATTATAAAATTTCTCTCATTTCTGCTACTCTTCATAGGTTTCAAATGGGCACAGGTAGCAAGGCATTTGCCTTGACATGGGTTCAAAGTATGATGTACTTACTTTTAGATGCATTTATCTTTGATGTATGCCTCTAAACATCCAAGTACTCCTAAATTTGAATCAGATCTTTCTGCACAATTATAAACATTACATTCAATCAGTTCCACATTTTCTGTTTAACTCATTTCCCCCCCGCCAAAATTTACAGGAATGAACTTCTCCCTTGTTTGCTTCAAATTTTTAATTACTATAAGTAAGTTCAGAACTCCCACATTTTCTGGATGAGTGCTATTATACAAAATCACTTAATAATTCCTTTTTTACTGTTACTATAAATAAGATATCCATAAAAGATATAAGAGCTAGGATAGAATCTTTGTAGAAACTAAATTTTAGGATATCCTAAATGCTTCTACTCATTCCTCATGAATACAAGGCAAAGATACATGTGAAAGTTGCCTAGCCCAGAATATTTAGTCTCTTCTTCCTTAGCTGACCTATATCTGGACAGTTATTTATTTATTTATTTTGGCTGTATTAACTATGCATTCTCTAAATGATAGGCTTATCTATATTAAAATAATCTCTTAATCTATGTTTCAACATAACTGTAAAATACTTTGTCAAGTATCTCTCCTTGTCATTATCTATTTTCTAAATGTAATGGGTTATTTTTTCAGAAACAAATTATGACATGAATTGAGGTGTTTATTTTCCAAAATGTGACATTGAAATTGCTTGCTGCCCTGTCTCTTCTTAATCAAGTCCTCTATTTATTAACTTTTAAAAATTAAGAACTTTTATGTGGCAGACTTTTTTTCATGCATATGAATAAGCAAAAATTGTTTTTTTGTTCTAAGAACCAGATCATCTAGCATTCACAGACACACATAAAAATGCATAAACACACATGCACGCATACACAAATGAGCATGCACTTGAGAATATGCACTCTATATTTTCGGGGTTTTAAATTTCCTAATAGAGGAATAGTTCAGATTACAAATACCTAAGAAATATTGTTGCACATTAAGCAAAAATATGTGAAACATTCTCAGAGACACAGACTCTGGAATTTATTTTTTTTTTCCATTTATTTCTGGCTATACTCCAGAGTCTGGATTTCCATTATGTGGAGGATATTATTCTGTCTTCTCTTTTTTGTATTAGTCTCTTTAATAGGGTGAGTGGCAGCAGGGTAATGCCAGTCTTATTCCTGGTGCCATATGATACTCGGGAGAGGCTAGAAGAACGTGAGGACTGTATTTAATCTTTCTTTTTTATAAGAATTGAGATATAATTGATATTATAAATGAGATATAATATTGTATAAATTCAAGGTGTACACGTTGACTTGATACATTTATATATTATAGTATCATTACTGCCGTAACTTTAGCTAGCTATCAGTCCTATCACATTACATAATTATAATTTTTTTGATCAGAACATTTTAAATTTAGTCCCTTAGAATTTTGAAGTATCTAACAGTATGGTTGATAAAAGTCATTATTTAACTTCCTTTCCAAATAGAAACAGATGAAGATTAAAATGTTCTCTTATGTTTTACCCAGAATCTGGACAAAGAGGAATCTCTTCTGGATGAACAGGAATCTCTAATAGGAGGTCAATAATTGTCTCGTACATGCTCAACAGGTAACTGTGGCAGAAAAAATGTCCATTCCTAACGACACCCACTTTCATCCTTCTTCATTCATTTTGCTGGGCATCCCAGGACTAGAAGGTGTGCATGTCTGGATTGGATTCCCTTTTTTCTTTCTGTATCTTGTTGCACTCCTGGGGAATGCTGCTGTCCTGTTTGTGATCCAGACTGAGCATATTCTCCATGAGCCCATGTACTACTTCCTGGCCATGTTGGACTCCATCGACCTGGGCTTGTCCACTGCCACCATCCCCAAAATGCTAAGCATCTTCTGGTTCGGCCTCAGGAATATATCTTTTGAGAGCTGTCTTTCCCAGATGTTCTTCATTCACTTCTTCACTGCTATGGAGAGCATCGTGTTGGTGGCCATGGCCTTTGACCGCTACATTGCCATTTGTAAACCTCTTCGGTATACCATGATCCTCACCAGCAAAATCATCAGCATTATTGCCGCCATCGCTATTCTACGGAGCCTGTACATGGTGGCCCCACTGGTGTTTCTTCTCCTGAGACTGCCCTTCTGTGGGCATCATATCATTCCTCATACCTACTGTGAGCATATGGGCATTGCCCGCCTGGCTTGTGCCAGCATCAAAATGAATATTATGTTTGGCCTTGGCAACATTTCTCTCTTATTATTGGATGTGCTTCTTATTATTCTCTCCTATTTCAGGATCCTTTATGCAGTCTTTCTCCTACCCTCCTGGGAAGCCCGGTTCAAAGCCCTCAACACGTGTGGCTCCCACATTGGTGTTATCTTAGCCTTTTTCACACCAGCATTTTTTTCTTTCTTGACACATCGTTTTGGCCACAACATCCCCCGATATGTCCACATTCTCTTAGCCAACCTATATGTGGTTGTTCCACCAGCCTTCAATCCTGTAATCTATGGAGTTAGGACCAAACAGATTAGGGAGAAAGTTTTGAGGATTTTTTATTTTAAAGATGGTTAAACATTGGTAGTATTAGAACGTCTTACAGTTCATATTTTCTTCATAATGCTCATTAGAAGGGGGTTATTGTCAAGAAAGATAAGAGTAAGGGAGCAAAGGTGAATATAAACAGTAATTATCTTCTTATCATTCTCCATGACCCTTTGAGTTTAAGGATAACAATGAATGTACTAATGATAATATTATAATTCATAAGGTTTGTATATTTTACAAAGTACTAATATTTATATTGTTTTATAATCAAAATAGCCTTATTAAATATTTACTATAGTCACAAGTTTTCAGATGAAAATTTGATACTTAGGGTTGTTAAATAATTCATCTGAAAATCCAACTATTAGTAGGAAGTAGATTAATAAGTAGGGTAACTTAAAAATGGGACCAGTTTCTGAATCACCAGAGGAAATATAAAAGCGGCATAAGAAAACTGGTTTAGAAATTGTAGATAATTTTGATGACAAGATTCTTGAAAAAGTAACAATGAAATTATTTAACTCAGTATCTACTATTCTAAATAATTTACTTATATTAACACATCTATTTCTTATGTGAATTCTTTGATGTGGTTACTCTTAATATTTGCATTTTCATATGAGTAAAATGTGGATCAGAAAATTCTCCATAACAAATTAAGATCAAGATTCTCAAAATAGAAGAAGGAATACATTTAGAAATAAAATAAAGAGAGCAGAGAATAAAGGTTTATATTTATGAAAGATCCATTCATTAAGTAAATACTTATGAACTTCCTCATGCACTAATTACATGTGACTGTTTGGTGATAGATAAAAAGACAGAATCCTATGTCTTAAGAAACCCATGGTGGGAGAGTTAGGGTATTAAGGCAAAGAACATTATGTTATATGATTACAAAGAATTTATATTTGGGAGGGGCTTTTGATAAACTTTGTAATAATATTGACTAAATATTCCAAATATTGGACCAATTTATTGAAGATAGCCACATAAAACCAGGAATATATTTGACTTTGTTTCACTTTCTAAAATAATCATATGGAAAATATTGACCTAGTTCATAAAAGAGGTGTTATTTGAAACTACATTTAAGAAAGTCTGCCAGAGATATGTTGTCTGTTTTACTTCAGTTAAAACTTCTGGTTTTTCATCAGTTTATGAGTACAGAAATTCTAAATTTAAAAATTTAGATATTGCCTTCTAAATGTTGCACTTAATTCTAGCAAAAATGTTGAATATATGATGGCATAGATATTTATATATCACAATTGTTTAAAAAAATTCATATACCACAGTTAATTTTTTTTGTATTTAGAAAATCCAATAGTCCAAAACTCTAATAAACAGACATCAAGTTAATTAAGCTAGCTAGTCTGTGTATTCAAAGCCTTCTGACTAGATAAGATAAGAAAGCTTTAGTCATCCAAACAGACAACAAAGGAATTTATCTATTGGTACATTCACAAACAAAAATAAATTATATTCAGATATAGCTAAATGTAAAAATTAATAACATTATCTACAGAAACTTGGGCTTTTGGATAAAACAATCACAACAAGAAAAAAAATTCCTAAAGACTTGAGGAAGAATATACAGCTTCCAAATAAGTTTTTTAATAATCAGAGGATGAAAAATAAAAATATTTGCTTGGCACGCTTAAGTTAGACATTACTGGTATTTATTGACATTACCAGTTTTCTTTTTCTTTCAGGAACATGGAGGATTCTTTGTGCCCAACCTCTTGCAGTTAGACTTGGCCATGAGACTTTCTATGACAAAATATTTGTAGAAGTAGTCTAATGCGTGTCAGTTCTGAGAGGAAACATTTAAGAGTGATAATGTGCTTCTCCATTTTCTTCTTCCCTGCTCTTGTGTACCCTGAAGGATTTTGTTAAGATGCCACGTCATAAAATTCTGGTGCCTTTATCAGAATATATGCTGAGTGACTATGATAGAGTTCTCCCCAACCCTCAAAACTGTATCACTTATGTAGTATAAACCAGAATTAAACTTTTGATATTTTAATACACTAAAATTTGGAAAGGGATGGATGGTATCTCAGCATAATGTAGACTATCTGGAATGATATTATACTCATGCATGGGAAACTGCCCAAATATATCTATAGATATAGATATATTTTAACCAAGAATAGGCAAGTTTTTCTTAAAGAACAAAGTTTGAATACTTACACTGCCAGAAAACAAGACCTGTTCTAAAGCTATAGCAAAGACCTGTAATAAACCTATGGTAATTGGGAGTGTGTGGTTTTGGTGCAACTATAGGAAAAAAACCAGTCCAATGAAACTTAATAGAGAGTCCTGAAATAGAACCACAGATATATGTTTATCTGAATTATGACAGAGATAACATTGCAGTACAGTAACAAAAGATATTGCAGTACAGTAACAAAAGATATTTCAATGAAAGATGTTGAGTCAATTGGAGAGCCATATGAAAAAGTAATGAATCTTGAAGATTTTTCTACCACATCATACAGAAAATCCTTCCCAAATAAATTGTAAATGTACAATTAAAAGGAAAAACAATGAAACTTCGGGAAAAAAGAGACTATAAC